AATTAATTGAATTCGAGCTATGCGGGTTAAATTAAAATGTTTCGCTTCCAGCCAAATTCGAAAATTATGATTCGAGTAGAAAAATGTCAGTGTTTGAGGAAGATACCCAAAATTGCTTATGGGTTGTGGGTGTGTGTGTATTTGAGCCAGAGTAAAGACTAGCGCGAGAGAGAGTGAGATGAGGCTCTTCCCTAGACTACCCCCGAAAGAAATCCACCCCTTTTTATGGCAAAACTCGCCCTGGGCCCTTCCACTCGCAGACTCTAAATGACCCCTCATTTTTTGAGGCTCCCCCATCCCCGTGAAAGTGCGCTTCAAAATGCGTTTTTTTGGTTTCGCTATATTATAGAAAAACTTAGAGACCTAGATTATGCTTTTTACAATATAATATACTATTTTTATAATTTCTATTTAATTTATTTATGTTTTTATACATAATATGCTACTTTTATAATTTCTTTTGAAAAATAATTAAAAAAGAAGAAGCTTTTAGTGAATCAGAGGTTTAAAGCGGGGATCAATTAATATAATAAATTTAGACTTTTTCAGATAGTTGGCTTGAAACATATTTTTATGAAAACAAGTCAAATATTAAATGGGAATTTCTGGGATGTTCGTGATTCATTGTTTTCTAAGTTGCTACTGATTATATAAAAGCTAGAAACCTGTATTATGCTTTCTCCAGACTTCTTTTTTTGATTTTTAAGGACAACTCTTCGACGAATTAATAAAGCAAAATGTTATTTTTTTCAATATTGAGTCAATATTATTGACATAAAACATATTTATTTTTCGCAAAATGAGGATTTTCTTTATCTTTTACGGTATTGCTCAAAATTGAGTCGAGGTGTTTTTATTGAAACCCAAGGAAATTCTGAAATAAGGTGCGTTATTTTTCGGATTTTTCTTCTTATGGCTATCCTTCGTTTTTCGGTTTCTGTTTGCGATTTAAACCTCGTACCCAAGATTATGCTTTATCTCTGTTTTATTTATTTTTATTTTTATTCTCTGTGAAAAATTGGAGGGCTCGAGGCTTTAGGAAAATAATGACGGCCTTGGTAATGGTCATTCTGACGAAAAGTTGAAGCATCCGATGTAATTTCCGAATTAACATTACCAAGTCACCCTTTTTAAATAGTTGATCTGAATGCGTTTTCCTTAAACTGTCACAATTTACTGGACCACCTTACCCCCTTTTTCGGCGCAAAATTGAGCTGATTTGTCATTGAAATGTATCATAATGCCGACAGTTTTCTTGTTAAATAGTTGATATGAAACATGTTTTTTTTGCAAAAACACCAGAATTTGTTTGATTATCTAAACCTTTTTCCACAACGAAAAGAAAAATGTTTTTTTTTCAAGAATTTCGTCTTTGTTTTCTATTTACGCGATTCGTTGTCGTGGCAATTCCTCTTGATGTCGTATTTGTGCCTTTGACCCCGGGGTGACAAGCATTTTCCCGTCCCGAATATCTGTCGTTCCCCAGGGGCCGATCCGTCTCGGATTATTGTCACGAATTCGTGTTGCGTAAAAAAAGAACAATGAAAAACATGTTTCGCCAAAATTCTACAGCCGCAAGGTTTAAATTTAGACAATCCGTTCCTTTGTAGAATCGAAAACTGATTAGAGCTAATTTAAGAGGTTGTCACCTATTTGATTAAATTTTAATTTTGATTCGCAACAGGTAGCAAAATTTTTATATTTTTTGATAGAAATGTGACTTTTCCGAAAACTCATTGCGCTAAATGGCATTTTCCGAATGTTATTGCTCAAAATTTGACTTTGTAGAAATGTCAAGACGCTGAAACTTCGATTTTCTATACGTTGAGATTAATAAATAAAATTTGTTAATTACTAAAAAGCCTTTTTCGGCGATATGCCATCCGACAAAAAGAATTTCGGGATTCTAATCCATGAAAAGATGAAAAAATCCATTTGTATCATGTTTGACGTGGCTTTGCAGACTTCGAAATATTAATTTCGCGCCAGGGCGGGTTAGCGGGGATCCTTGAGGAATCCGGGATCACAGGGAAAGCTAGCAGAGATTCTTTGCTGAGTTTGGAATCCTGTGGTAACCGAAAATTGCTAGCCAAAAAAATCATGTTTCATCTCAGCAATGAGAGATAGCTGACCGCAAAACTATAATCCTCCGCCGGGTAAGTTCAATGTCACCACTCCTTTAAATTCGCAACTTTATAGCCAAGATATGAGTGCCCTTTTGGCCGTCCGGGGCGTCATCCGGAAATTTGCTATTCCGGCCCGGGGGGGGAGGGGGAGGGGGGGAGATGTGCCGAAATCTGAGGGTCCAATCTTATTTTTTCGCCGCTTGCCGTTCGCCCGGCAAAAATCGGATTTGCATGGGTGGGACGGCCAAAAATGGAACGCTTTTTTTGCTATTAATGCATATTTTTGTTTTGGTTTTGATTAAGCAAGTCATCCGTAATAGTTTTCCAGAAAAACTTCAAAGGTTCTTTTTTACTGAAACATGAAAATTTTTCAGCTTTTTCATGATTATAATTTTTTTTAATAATTTTTTTTTGTATTTTATTTTTTGATTCCTCAATTCTGTGTAAATCGTTTTTCAAAAAAAACGTCAACTTCTATTTTTTTATGAAACATAAAAATGCCAGCTACGAAATTAGCATATTTTTTATATGTTGTTATTTATAATTTTAATGGGTTAATTATATTACTTGGGCAAATTATGGCATTTTTTGCGTTGAAATTTTGGTGTAGCGGCAACTACGAAATCGTAAAAATTTTTTAAATTAGTTGTGGAAAGCTCATAGCGACCAACGCCTCCTCAAATTGCACTTTACTCTATTTACCGTAGCACCGTGCGATTCTTATATTTTTTTAGGAAAACTCAAAATATCATTCCCAGGAAAATTATACAATTGTTCCCACAAAAATTTGGCGGAAGGTTGGAAATTCGGAACCCAACAGCCAACCTTCGCAAAATACCCATCGTAACCGCTAGAAGACAACAATTTGGAGTGAAACATGTTTTTTGCATTTTATTGAATCACTTTTTGGAAAAATTTAGCTTAATTGAAAATTATATTTTATTATTTAATTTAAATTTTTTTAAGGGCTCCCGAATTCAAGGCCTACTGACAATTAATAAGCGAAATTCGCGGCTGTGAGGATGATTTTTTGTAGAAACACGATTTTTTTAATAAAAATTTCAATGTTTTTTGTATATTTAAGCTACATCTTACTTTTAGTTGTGGTTTTTAATATGCCCTGTCTTTTTAGGAGTTTTTATTTCTCGCAAGTTATAAAAACTATGCTAGAAATTGTCGAAAATGTAATTCATCGAAAAGTTTTTATTCAGTTTTCCTGCGCGTACAACTATTTAAATGTCGTTATGGGATCGTAAGGGATTACTGTGAACCCCCCACCCCCCGCTAAGAGACCAGTAACCAAGTTTCTTGGCAGCTTTTGATCGCCATTTTTTTTATTAAGTCATGCTCCCTTTAAAATCATCTCCGTTTTTGTTTGGATTCCATCGTTTTAACAGCAACAGCAGCCCCACTCGTCTCTGTTTCCCAAATCGCGTGCCCATGAATTTTTTTCGGGGGCCCGCGGGGTTATTTTGGTGAGGGCGAACGGCTGGGGCTCAAATTTCATTTTCACCCCCCAGGGGGAAATTGACACTTTACAGCTAAAAACCAGCTTTCGTTTTTGTTTTCTAGAATTATTTCTGAAATTTATGATATTATGATTCACTAAAATTCACTACTAATTTTTAACAAATCTGCTTTTTTGGTCGGTTCAAAAAAATGTTTCGAATTTGGCTGAGGCAGAAATCACCTGGGCTTGCGGTAATAAGGTTAGGTTTAGTAGGTGCTAGTGCCAAAAATGAACGTCATTGAGTATCAAACTATGTCGGCGTTTTTACTGCCGAGATTTCGGCTGTCGGGATTTTAGGGTTTCGCGATTTGCGCTGTCGGGATTTTGGCTTGTCGAGATTATGGCTGTCGGCGTTTTTTTGGAAGACGCCGTTTTTGTCTTCGGAATCATAGCTGTCGAGATTTTTGGTTCCTGATTATCGCTGTCGGCGTTTTGCTGTCGAGAAGTTCGGCTTTGGCCTGACGGGCTTTTGGCTGCGGAAATTATGACTGCAATTGAAAAAAGATAACTTGCTTAAATGTCAAATGCGCACATAAATTTCGATGTTTCTTAACTGTGACTTATTTGGCCATGATTTCCTGATTCAATTTTGATCCTTTGGTTGAACATTTATTAAATGAGAGCAAAGAACAAACAAAAAAATCGATTTCAAAAATATTTTACGTGTTTCGTCAAAGCTACTGAATGTTGCTTGCTTTGGAGCGCTAGTGAGCTCCACCTGACATATGGTTTCTTTTTGAATTATGCTAGTGTAGCATTCGCATAGTTTACCGCCAACTTTTTTCTTTTCTCCGATTTTGCTAGTAAAAATTGTTTATCAACCGTTTTGTTACTATTCCTAAGTGATAAAACTACCAATTTTTAAGAATAATCATTAAAACAATAGATTTTTCGATCAAAACTTTAAATCAAAATTTTGTTTATAATTTAGCGGCTGAACCCCGTCCTGGTTCAAAAGCGAAATTTCCAAAAACTCTAAAATGTTTCTTCGATATTCAAAAATCAGTAGCGTTGAGACCTCGGCGTTCCCAGCTTTGGATAAGTAAAATCTCTCCTTTTTGGTGGGCCCAATTTGGAAAAGAGGGTGAGAGCGAGAAAAGATTCTAATTAGGCAGCTCGGGCGCCAAAAATGACCACCGAGACGTGGGAACTTCGGAATAAGGGCAATTGAGGTCCGTTCAGCGGAGTGGCACGGACGTCTTAAGATCTTTAAAGGAGATTTTCGAATTTTGATATGTTACATCGCAATAGTCCTTTCTGGAAAATTTTTCATTTTTAATGATGATACCATTCGATTCGATTTTACAGCTTCAAATTTTTCGAATTCAAAAATATATTCCTCTATAAAGCCGGCGTTTAGCTAAATGGCGTCGCGATTGTATCGCGGCCTGAAATGGCTCTACAACACCTTTAAAATGGGCTACTTCGCGCCGCTGCTCATCCTCATTTCCTATACATTATTGGGTGAGTTTACAAAGTTTATAATTAAAAAACTAAATGTAAACTAGTTAGCCAGATAAGTTCATTATTTAAGTTTATTTAAATGGATAGTTACGGATGCATTAGCAGATCTTTATGGCCGCGACACGCAACGCGTCCGCCGCATTACCATGCGTAATGAATGCCCCCCGCGGCGTTGCGTGCCGCGTTGCGGAAAAAACCCTAACAAATCCATATCTAAAAAATCGTAACAACGCTTTTTTTTAACGCTTTTTAAGCTTTTTCCGTATATTATTATTAAAAATGCTTATTTATATTAAAAAGCTCTACTTTAAGACCATCGAAAAAATGGGTTTAATTCAAAGTTTAAACGCCAGAGTAGGAAATTTATTTGAGGTTGATTGGATCTTAATATTTTCGACTACTGATTTTTACCGGACTATTATGTACCGCGAGCTGTCTTACCAAAAAGGTTAAAGATGAAACACATTTTTTACAAGCAGCGTTTCTGAAGATTTGTTCGATTAAATTACATTCTTACTGCATATCAAATAAAAATAACCAATGCACAATCAATATATAAATAGCCAATAAATTTTTATTTTTTTGAAGAAAAACCTATAAAATTTTTATTCAGGCGCCATCATCTTCAAGGCGCTTGAGCACGACGAGGACCAGAGACGACGCAATTTCTACCGGAATGAATCCGAATATGCGGTTAATCAGGTGGATTAATAGGGAAGATCGACGACTCATAAATTCAATAAAATAAAAAGAAATTGATTGAACAAGTTCAAATAGCCTCCAGCGCCAAAATTTAAAATTACGTTTACCGATATACCTGGATTTTTTCATATGGGTATTATTTTTTTGAAACATTTTTCGAACATCTTAAAATTTAATTTCTTTTCTAAAGAAAGCTACATTTTTTCTCGATAGTAGAAATAAATCATCTTTTTGATGTTTCAAAAAAACCGGGCGCTGTCGCGAATCTGCGATATTTAATAGTTGGTCGCAACGCCTGCAAATATTGGTTTTTGCTACTTTTTAATCTCAGGTGCTCGACCGTATGCTGGAGGTACGGTGCCACGATGGGCTTCTGAAACAGCTGAATCGTGTCGAGCAGATCCGACACGCCCAGGATGCCCTGTTCTGGTTCCTCGATCATCTCAATTTAACGGCGGTTTGTTTTGCAAATTAAGAATATTATCATTATAAAAGATTCAGAATATTTAAGAAGAGGATGAATTTAACTTTTTTTTAACCGGTCGTAATCGATTACGCAATGAAACTATCGTTCGCGTTGCGTGTTGCAGTCGGTGTAAAATCCACAGAGAATTTATGGCGCATAAAATCCACAGCTCGTACCTTCGCTCGTACCTTTCAAAAAAAAGTATTTCAAGAAGATTCTTAAACCCCTTGTTCAGAAATCGGCAATTCACGGTGAATTTTCTGGTATAAATCTCCGAAAAACTGCCATTGATCTCCATTTTTGTTTTGGATTTTGGCGCAAGTTTGGTCCTCCGAATAAAGCAATTGGACATGGTTCTACAAGCTCCGTTTTATAAAACTTTCATTTGTGATTTTTTTTGACAATGTTGTGTCTAGTTTCATTTTTTCTTGTTTTCCGAGGCCTAGGAAAAGAAGAAAATCATGTTATTAAGTCCGAAAATTATAACATTATATTTCAGTAAAAATTTCCGAGATTTAAATTGCCAATCCGTTTCCAGGTCATCGAGGAGCGATCCGACGCGTCGCCGTGGACGTGGTGGGGCAGTATGTTCTACGCGGGCCAACTTTATACGACTATTGGTGAGAAAAAGCTAATTAAAATAAGTAAAAAATTAAATATCAAATAAACCAATTAAATAAAAAATTGCAGCAATTTAACATGCCGAAAAATGGCTAGTCGATTACCAGACTCTTGAAGAAAAATGTTTCGTCAATCCTTAAAAATGCAAGATTTTGGTTTCGATAATTCCTTCATTTCTCCAGCTTCTACCAGTTTTCTCTTAAAGAACGTATGAAGTATTATGTATGTATTAAGGTACCCGATTTAGGCTACGGGTTTCCGATTGTGAAGACGGTGCCCGGGCAGGTTGTGAGCATTTTCTACATTATGATTGGTGAGTGGTTTTCTATAATTTAAGGTAAACTTCGGTTATGTAAAAAAATCGAAAATCCCACAGGAACTCTTGAAATTAGAAACACATGAAGTTATGCGTCCAGGCATTTTTTGAAACATATCGGTCGCTGTTTTTCAAATCCATGTAAATCTTCATTTTGATACGATTTTGGGTTTTCTAGAATCTGTGATCTCTCCAGCTTTGGAGCATAATTGCGGTAAGCATTGAGACATCCAATTACATGTTAGCAGAAACCTATAAATTTGTTTAGAATTCCAGAATTCATGTAATATATGAGGTCCTCATTAATTGTGATTTAGTTTTTAATTAATGTTGCTAAATTTATGTTCATCGCGGCGCAATGCCGCCTAAAAACTTAGCAAAAATCATAATATATCGATTTTTCAGGGATCCCAATTTTCCTGATCATCCTAAAGGACGTTGGGCGGTTGATGTCGAGGGGGCCTCCGCAAATTCTACAAGCGCCTGAAAAACTCGCGGATTGCCGAGACGACGGAGCAGATACGCAGATTCTCACAGTCGTCCAAGGTATCGTTTTTTAATGAGGACGGGAAAAGCTGATTTTGTTCTTATCGATTCTAGAAAATCTCTGGAAATTACCAGGCTTTTAAAAAATTTTCGCAAAATTTTAGTTTAAATTTTAAAAAACTGCGGTGCTGAGCTGTTAGCGGGGGGGGGGGGCTTGGCGAGGCAGGTAGTGTTTTTTTTCGCTAATAACGGCTACCTATTAATAAAACATAATGTGGAATTTTAAAATTCATTACGTACATTTATGAATTTTAGCGTAAATGAAAACTTTTCGGCCGATTCTTTTAAAGTCAGATGTTTCGACAGAGCAAATTAATAAATTTATTGAAAATACGGTTAATCTATGGCATAAAGGTCCCGGAATTTCTCAATTTCAGCAAACCCTAAAAATCGATCTGGGCACGGAAAGTGAAGCGCTGGCCACGGAGGAGAAAGAGCAGCGAATACTTGCCCTAAATGGACGTTCAAAAATTGAGGTAAATTACGAAATTATACCTATGTAAGTGCACAAATTATAAAACAAAACGAATCGAAAATGATCGAAATCGAAATGCTTTTACCTTTACAAAATACGTTGGATTGAAGATACAAAAATTTACATGTTTCGACCAAAGATCACCAATTTTCGAGCACATTTTCAGGAATCAAGATGACTTTGCGGTGCGTAATTTAGTTAAATTTTATTAAAAACTTTATTAAAAATTTACTAGGTAGTTACCAGGAATTTTTGTGACTTCGAGGTGAAGAATTACGCCTCCTCGATAATGCCAAAGAACCTGAATTTTATAGAAAAAAACAAAAAATCTGAGTTTCAACATTTTTCAGAAAGCCGAGCTCGACCCGGTCAAACAAAATAGACTAAATCAACGTGCGGAAATGAGCTTCCCGATTCCAATCGCGCTCGCCATTCTGTCGATGTGGATTTTGTTTAGGTATAATTAATATATGTTCTCCTTTTTATCGTTATTAAATGCTTCAATATTAGCATCATAATCAGCGTAGCCCTAAATAAAAAATAATTTCAGCAAAGACTAAACGAAACCAAACGACTTTTTTTATAGCGCGGCCCTGTTTTGCATCTGGGAAACGGAGTGGGGCTACCTCACCAGCGTCTACTTTTTCTTCGTATCGATCAGGTAAGTAAAACGAACAATCAGAATGTTTTACATATATATTTGTATCCACAGCAACTCGAATAGCATTGTGTGATCCTGATCAAGATAAACCTGTTTTGGAGCCGGAACATTTTTTTCCTTTACGAATTTTTTTATCGAATTTCAGAAATGAAATTTCAAACTTTGTTAAAGATTCGCAATTTACTCAAAACCGAAGATTTTCATGGAAAATCGATTATTTTGTGCTTTTCAACTATAAATTTGCTGATAATTGACGCTTAAGGAAAGGGAAAATTAATTTAGAAACTCTTCCCCTATTTATATTTCAAAAATTGTATGCTAAACAAAAAAACGTTGCGAAAGAAAGAAAAAAAAAAGAAAAAATGTCCATTTCGAGATTCGTACGGGAAAATCCAGAAAGAAACCCGGAAAAAATTGTAATTTTTAACTTACAACTTACAGAGAATAATTTTACTGCTATACCACTCCATTGCCTATTGAACGCATCAAAAAATTTTGTTCTATAGAATTTGAAGAAACATTTTTTCAGCACGGTCGGCCTGGGCGATATCTACCCCTCGAAACCCGACATGATGATCTTCAATTTTATTCTGATTCTCGTTGGACTGGCGCTGTTGTCAATGTGTTTCAATCTCATACAGGTTTGCGTGATTTTTAGTGTTAGTTAATCTGCGGTTCCTTTCGGCATAACAATCAGGGAATTGTTTTGCAATGTACCATATGTGGTATAATTTTTCCTGTTAAAAATTATGAATTTCCACGCACAAATTGCTTTGCACTTGGTGTTTTCTGATCAAATTGATATAGTTTTGTTCTTGAAACATTCAATTATAAATGTTATAATTTGGTTCAGCTACATTCGCATTTTGAATTTTTCGAAGCGTTTTTGTAGTAATGGACGTGGATTAGAAAAGCCATATATTGAGTTCAAATAAGAGAAAAACTTATTTTGTTCATGAAACACCTAAAAATTAAGATTTGTTTTAATTTGAATTAAAATTTTACGACGCGGCGAAACTGATTTCTAATGCGATTTTTCGATAATTTACTTCATTTTTAGTTGACGGTAGAGCGATTTTTGGACCGCCTCATCGACGAATACATTGAAGAAATTGAAAAAATGGCCGACATTGTGCATCAGGATGATCCGGCCACCGAGCACGCAATGCCCTTCGAATTCAAGATGACCACTGGTAATTTTTTTGTTTTTGGCGTAATTAATAGAGTGGCATAATTGCAATAAGCCTCACGATATCTATGCCTAATACCTATTACGCAAGGCCTAAATCAAATATATTAAAAAATGTTTCAACAAATATTAAGAATAATAATTTTTTATGCATTAACAATTACGCGATAAAATTGGTGAGAAAATTTGCTCGAATTGAAAATTTGGAGAATTTTTACGGTAATTATGATACTCCTTTGCCCTTCGCGAAACGATAGATACTTTTGCAAGAAATATCAAGTTTCTAAAAATTTCAGGAAAAATCAGGTTCATTTTTTATGTTTTATTCATTCAGGAATCGATTAAATTAAAAATTAAAATCGCGTTTAAATTCCAGGCAATCTTCTGCAGGTCCCGTTCCGGAAAGTCGCCGAGCCGCAAGGGCTGTTCAGCGAGGTGAAAAGTGAGTGTTTCAAAATCAGTCGATGTGGCTTTTAATAATTTTTGATTAATACGTATTGTTCGGTTGCCTCTTATTAATCCCCAAAACTTAATTGAAATTTTATGGCGCTTTCAAAAAATTTTAGAAAATTTTTAGAAAAACAATACCCCGTGAGCGCTTTGCGGAAAATAGTCTTTGATTAGAGCGTACTGATCAGTAAATTATATATTGTTATGTTAGTACAATTATTACTAAACCCTTTAATAATTGACATTTTTAGAAATTCAAAAACGATTAATTGAAAATTTCGTGTTTGGTAAAAACTAACAGCGCAAAAAATGTGGGCAATCAATCCTTCTTGTGGGAATAGTTTAGACTTCGTTGCAGAAAAATTTGCGGAAAAAACCTTGTAAAAATCTAAAGAAATAATTCATAAAAACAATTGGAAAAATAGTAAAAATTTCATGTTTCATAAGATTTTTTAAAGCTAATGAAGGTTTTTGCGTTAATCACAGTTCTGCAACGATGCAAAAATAATTTTTAGGCTTTGTTGCGGAGAAAATTGCGGAAAACCTGATAGCGTCGAGGTTGGGGGATGAGGATAGTGACTCGGAAAGGGATAAGGAAGAAGCGGAAGAAGAAGAAGTCGCTGACTACAAAGGACAAGCTGATGACGGCATGGCAGACGATGTAGAGAAAACCGGCAGCGCGGCGGGTTGGTGTTAGAAATCCAATCCAAAGAGTGCAGAAAATTCGAAAAATAGAATTCCATCAATCATCAATTCCTTTCATGAACATTTTCCGGTATCCAGACCCGAAACAGATTTTTTTGAAATAGACAAAAATGGTAAGTCGTGAAAATAATGTCGAATTATGCCTAAATTGTCAAAATAAAAATCATAAAAGGAAACATAAAAAACGTCGAGACCAATGTGTCAAATTTTTGGCGCTTTTTCCGGGCGATTTTTAAAGTAATTTTAATTAATTTTAAATTTCGACATTCCGAAGTTTCGATACTAGAAAATTTCAAAGTCGTGATTTTCGATACGTTGCCCCCTCTAAAGTAGCTGGCTAGGCTTTTTACAAATTATTATTGATAATTAAAAGTATTTACAAATATTCCCGAATTTTTCGTTACCTCTTTCATTTTTTTCAGATAAAATGAATGAAATAGTGTTTCGGAACTCTAGCAAAACTAAATTTCCGTACATGCATATAATACAGTGATACGAACCGCCTTTCTTCCCTAAAAAATTGAAACATTTTTTCAGCATCGCGGAAGGGCAGCGTCACCGGCCAACTTTTCCACTCGCCACGCCGGGTGCAGAAACATGCAAAACGGCCGGTGCTGAGGACCATACAAACACTGGAGAAGATTCGCCCGCATCGCGGCGACTTTAGGTAGATTTCGGGATTTTTGCGCCTTTGGTTAACTGCTGAAAAACGGCTTGGATTGCTTTGCAAAAAAAAATTGTATACAAATTAAGAATGAAACATACTTTTTATTTTTTAGATCGGTGGTCTTTTCGAAGTTTGTGGCCTCGGACAGGCTTGCTAGGCTGATGGAGGACCCGGCGAGAACGGTAAAAAAAATTTAACACTTTAATAGTTTTTTTATTAACCTAAATATATATGTTTCAGCTTTTTTCTTTAGTGAATTTACAAACGCTAAGGTGATCCATAAAAAACGAGGTACTTCCAGCAATCCGACAAGAAGAAGACGGTCTCGATCTCGTGCCAAACCGAGCCCGAGCCGAAAATGCGGCGGTTGTGCGGCCGGAAATCCAGAGGTATCAATTTCACAGATACGAGGTTTTTTCATAGTTGATTTGGCAACGACTATAAATTACAAGATTTGAAAACTGCAGAATCCTACGTAACGTTGAAACAGTTTTCTTTCAGATTCCATCTCCACGGTGAACACGTGCGATTCCATAATTTCGACGACCCCATACAAAGTAGGTGTTTTTAAGTGGTTCTAGAACCTATTTTTCGCTCTCGGCATTCTGGCATGCAAGAACTTGTTTGATTAAAATTTGCTAGCACGTATTGAATGTTTCTGACATAGAATAACAACGGTAGAGAATTCGATGGCTTATTTCGGGACACAATCCATTATCATATTTTTATTTTATTGTAAAACTTGGAAAACCCATGAAAATCATCTGAATATTTGGTGTTGGAAAAGTGTGTTCCATCGGACGGCACTGGCTACGAATCCTTTTGCAATATAATTCGCTGCCTGGTTTAACGCATGAAAATTAAAGAAATTTGGAATTAGATTTAAATAAACGCTAATAAAGCCGGGTTCTTTTGCATTATCGGGGGAGGGCAGGAGAAATTTTAAAAATTTTCAGCAAGAAAATACAAAAATAGCGATATTTCGGCCTAAATTAATGTACCATATACTGGCAGATCAAGCCACGCAGGGCCAGTTCATTGGTGAGATTTTTAAATTTTCTTTGATTGCATTATTATCAATTTTTTAGTGTTATTCCGTAATGAAATAGAATAGGGATTTTGCAGATTATGAAAAATACTACCAAATGCCCGGAGTTTAAATTTAACTTTTTCTAAATTTAAGTTCGGAAGGCGTAAAGCTTTGGAACCTGTAAAATTGACCAAGTCTTTGTTTTAGGATATCTACTTTGACTACACGACGGATATCTCGGCCAACGAGGCGGCGCTAAACAACAAGTCGACGTTGAGCATTTTGCGGATCGATGACGAGGAGCCGATATTACAGTCAGCCTTGATGCGATTACGGTAAATTTTCAAAGATTTTTCTGTAGGCGGTCCCCACTGATAGAAGTGAAATGATTTATTGTAAATAGTGAGTATGGCAGCGAATGCTAAAACATTTTTCCCGAAACTTGGCAAAAAATTAGAGTCTCGTACACTCAACTTGATTTTTTTTGTTAAATTGGTTTTCGTAAATTTAATTTCCCCATTTTATCCCAATTTTTCGCAAGACCTGGAGCGATGTTCAGTTTCTATGAAACACCGAATTTTCAGGTCGCCGCCAAAAATCCGACTGCCAGCCGGGTTGCCATCTGGATCGAGGAGATTCCATCGGCCTCTTCGACCCACCCCCTCTTCACCTGGCTGCATGGAGACGGACAATTCTATGAGGTCTGATTTAAATGACAATCCAAAATGTTTAATTTTTGAGGTTTTTGACTAGATTTTTAAGATTTAGAGGACGCCAATCGATAGCACGTCAAAATTTCACTGAGAATTACATTGAGATTTTTTTGATTTTTCAGCGCGAAAAACTGTTACATAAAAATTTTATAGCATAAAAACTATTCTTGAAACGATGGGCAGCACATAGGATAACCGGGTGGCCTATTGTCGCCAATTTAGATATTTCCGTTTTTTTTTGAAAATGCCATTCGATAGAGGGCCAAAAAATATGCTAGGAACCCGAAAAAACAGTATTTAAAAATATGTGTAACTGAAAAATATATGCTTAAAAATAAGTTAAAGATTAAAACAAATAGAGGTGTATCAACCTTTTTATCGAAATCCGCCGGTTTCTAACATTCTTTAGAGATTCCGGCGGTCCCTCACCCCTGCACGACACGAGAAGTCTGCCATCAAGCGAATTCACACGGCTTCAGAACCTCTGCGGATTATTGCCGGTATGCATACTTAATAGTAGTACTAGGAAAAGATGGAATTAGCTAAACATCGGGATGCTGATAGGCTGGAGGATTGAAGTTTGAGTTCTACGCCTCATCTCAAAATTTATTGAAACGTCTGAATTGCACTGGTCACGTTACCACGTTATTTCTGCTGTAATAAATTTAAACATATCCTGGAAAACTACCAATTTTTTCGAATAATCCCGTAAGGCGCGCTAGCGAAAAATTACTTTTTTTGCGTTTAAACAATTTTTAGATTGAAAAGGATCAAAGTCACAACTTGAACTTTTAAAAAAAAGACGTTTATTTTTGCAACCAAAACTACCAATAACAGTATAAAAAAATTCATAAAATTAGCTTCTCCCCGGCTATTGGCCCAAAAAATGCGACGCAAATGTATTAATGAAACAGCGACCCACGAATCTATTGACATATTCTCAAAACATTTTTTTTAGAACTCTTAACAAGACCCTTTTCACCACGTTGTTCCGAGGCAGACTTTTAGAAAACCTATGTTCCCGGAAAATACAGTAGAGAGGCGTTTTAATCCTACTATATATAAAAAAATAGTTCATGTGTGTGTGTGTGTGGACACTTTGCATAAATGGCTCGAAAAAACCGGGTTACCAAGATATCGGGAAGGGGGATCAATTTTAGGACCCAGTCGAAAAGTATTTAGGGGTAGTCGAGGGCGTAGATTACTGCAAGCTTATCAGATTTTTAATAAAATATCGATTTATACCTTATTTTAGCTATTTTAAAACATATGGAAATATCCTCATTTGCATACGAGGCGCTAGGAGGCTCATTTCGAATTTTGTCGCGCTAGCGGCCGGTTGCTTTTACCGTTTATTGGTTCACTCTCGCTGTTCGCCCGAATTATGCAAAGTGCCCAACTTTGAGAGTTCCGTGCGCGAAGGCCAGGGGTGAAAAGCCGCGTAGCGGCTTTTCAACCCTGGTTAATTTATTAATTTGCTTAATGATGCCTTTCTAGAACGATTTTACGAGACAAAAACGACGTGTGTCCCTCGATAGCCCATCTCATGGCTACCGCTCCAATTCCTCGATTGATGATTCAATGTTTGAAAAGGCTAAGGTAAGTGAGTGAATTTATTATCATTTTTTCGAAAAGATATATGCAGTACTTGTTGAAAAACAGCATGTACGGCATTGCCCGAAAAATTAATTGTTTCCAAAAAATTTCTGGCGAAATCAATATTTTTGCCATCAATGAACTCTCTTCTTCCTTTCCTATCTTTCCAAAAAAATTATCCCGGCAATCCTTTACAGCCCAGTAACAAACAATAAACAATTTTTATAGCGTTTTATACAGATTTTTTATATAAAATTACATAAAAACTATTAAAATATCGAAAACGTTTGGTATTTTGGTCAAAAATGTGCGAATTTTCAAAAGCTCACGTTTTTAAGATATTTTTTAATTTTTTAGGAATCAAAAACGACTAAGGGCGCCATAAAAAGGCACTATATATTAACAACGCACAAAAAATTATAAAGTAATCCCTCCCCTGGTACCAGTCTTTAACCATTTTTACGTATTTTTCAAGTTTTTCTCAAAAACAAATGTTTCAGAAAATGTTTATGATTCATTCCGTGGCTTTTAATGCAATCGGACATGAAATAAAAGCAAATTTACCCCCAGCCGTTCATGAAACATTTTTGCAAATACCATCCATGTAATATCTATTTTTCAGGAGCCCTCAAATGTACAATTCCATTGAAGCTGTATTCGAACTCGAAGGAAACGCGAAGGAGTGCCATATAGCAATTTACCAATTCAGGAAACGGGTATTATTCGTTGCAATTTATCGATTAATTTGTTAGATTTTTCGTATTGTTTTCCCTATCTTTCTCACCCTCTCTCGCGCTCACTTTCTCTATCTCTCACTCTCTCGCTCAATCTCTATCCCTCTCTCTCCCAAAAATACGGGTAACTAAAGTCAAATAAATAATTTTTGCAAAAATTAATGCTCCGAGGCGCTACAAAGTGTTGGGCAAAGAAAATATGATAATTACTCAATGTAATGTATCCAAATTTAACACAATTAAAGATAATTAAAATATACGATAATAAATCTTTATACAGATCGATGTATTAGTAAAATTACCAACAATTTTGAATAGGCCAAAATCCGAAACATTTATTCGCAACTCTCTGGGGGGGGGGGGCTTCAGAAGCGATCTCTTGTAAAACGGTATGCACATCACATTTCATTAATTATCGATTGGCGTTGAATTAAGCGATGCATCGTCGTGGTCGTGTCCCTATTCGGTGTACGGTATCTTGGCGAAGGTGGCGTTGCCGACGGGTGGGGCCGAGTCGAACTGGTCGAACGTGTACGTCCCGTCGCGAGCAAACTGAAACCCGTAAATTGGCACGAAAATTATGTTTCAAAACATTTCGGCGACAAATGGGCTTTAATATTAATAGTGGGTGACGGTATGTGGTTGCAAAAAATAGAATTTTTCACGAACTTTGCAGTTGCGCAATTCTTCAGATAAACCTGACCCCACCCCCGATAAGGCCAAAGCACCCTATTTAAATGGGCCCTATTAAATGCTTTGAAAAATCCAGTGTTTTAACGATACTCTAATCTAACGCCTTTTTTGACGAGATATTCCCTTTTTCCTTCGCAATCCCTTCTTTATCGTAAATTTCATTTCGGCGAAGTCTCATTCTGATGAAGTAACATTTTGTCGAGGTAACATTTTATTAAATTTCATTTTGAAGTTTCAAATTTTGATATCAAATATGTCGACAAATCGAATTTTGGGCAAAATTGCTATTTCGAAAATCTCAGTTTCGACAAACTCAAATTTAGACGAAATGAAAATAGGCCTAAGAACCTAAGAACCTAAGACCCTGTGTACCTACGTGTGTACCTAAGAACGCCAGCGTTTTTCTTTCCTTCAGTCTCCCTTCGTCAATAGGAATGTTCGTAGTACCAAAATGCCAGAGTGCAATATAGGGAAAATTAAGTGTTTCAAGATTTCGCGTGAAAGGTCCGATATGGACTTCCGGAATGTCAAGAAGCCTGTTCAGTGTAACCTTATTACAAGCGCTAATATACCTTCATGACAGCGCCGAGGTTCTCGTAGTAGTCGTGGTAGCCGGGCGCCGAGAACAGCGTCACCACGCGCCGATTCGCAAAGAACTCGAACCCGTGGTCCACCACCTGAAATCGGGACATCTTTAAAAATCATGGAAATGGATTAAACCATGAAGAAATCAGTGTCAATTTTAGATAGAACCAGGGTTGAAAAGCCGCTTCGCGGCTTTCAACCCTGGCCCCGTTTTGGACCAATGAAAGTTTACACTTTGCATAATTCCGCCCAACTCACGCTGGAAAAAGTGAAAAACGCGCTCTCTGCGCCTTTATATAGGCTACCCCACTTCCGGTGCATGCTAATTAATTCCTAACAAAGAGGTTCGCGGATTTTTCAACAAAAACTAAAATTTAATGTCGAAAATAAGCGATTTCGATAAATCTCATTTGCGTGCAGTCATCTCCAGCCCATTACGTGCTAATGACGTATCAAACATACCCCTAACTACTCTCCTTCTTGAGATATGACTGGAACAACCTGACGGAAGTTGCATGCAAAGTGGCACACACACACACACACACAGACACTACTTTTTATATATAATCGGATACTTGATAAAATATATGGGTTTTATAAGCAAAAATCATGAGGCTTATAAATTTTTGAAAATAAGTTTCAAAAACTTTAGTTGCCGGAGAGCTTTGGACTATCTTAATTTTTTTAACAAACACCGATATTTTTCGGAGCATCGTTCAAAAATGGCTTAACAATTACTTTGGCATTATCCAGGGGCAAGTCTTTCATGTATTCGTGATCAGATTTAATAATTTAAAATTTGTATCAAAAAAAGCAAACATAGATTTTCGACTAAAATTTCAAATATTTAAAATCATAACAATCCTGTTCGATGATTTTCGACTTTATATATAGTTAAATTTTCTTACACGGCTATTAAAATACTTACTATTACGACACTAAGAGTTTTGGGGGTTAAAAATGACAACTACCTGGTGGGCTCGGACGAGGAGGCTGATGCCGAGCTCGCGGAACTTCTCGTCGATCGCCTGGTTGCCGTAGGTGAACGAGCAGCCGCTGCATGGAGAATTATTATAAGCCTATCCTTATTATTTTAAAAGGCCGTCCGCCAGTCACTCGAACTGTTCCCATTATGGCTTGGCACAGTTTTTTGCGACCCTATTTTTATGATGCCATCTGATAGAGCGTGATCGAATTAGTGGGGGCATTGTTTTGAAAGTTTAAAAAGTTTATTTTTGGGGTTTAAATGGCCGTTAAAGTTGCCGACATCGAAAACCTATCTCGAAAGTTACTGGACCAAACTTGCTGAAAGTTTGTGACAATACCTAATTTGGGATGGAGATCATTTCTCTAATACATTTCAAAGCTTGAAAATGGCCGGAACATAGGAATCTGGCGTACTAAAACGGTTTTTTAAGATTTTCTATTTAATGGGAAATCGGCGGCATCCTGAAAGTAACATAGAAAGATGCGCAATTTTTCCTACGTTGAATGATGTGTCTTTAGATGCCGCCGTTTTCCCATCATCTAGAAAAGTCGTGATCTCTGGAATGAACAAAAGTGGCGTTAGAAGATCGGGGGCTGAGAATGAGAAATATAACGGATTGCGGAAAGCATCTAGAGATCAATGCCACCCATTATCAAAAAAGAGCAAAATGAAATTCCTCATCTACGCGAAGTTGAGTACGGAGGGGAATCGAACCCGCGATGGTCCACCTGGGGGGCTCTGGGGACAAAGGCTAGAGGGCGCCGCCACCTCCCCAGGCGAACGACCCGAGTTCAATCCCAGCCACCTTTTAGAAACCGAATTTCTTTTTGCTCTTTTTTGCAATTGACTTGGCTGCGCTTCTAGAAGCAAGTGGGTGACTCCCCGTTTGAAAACCTGGATATTTTTCTTTTTTTCATCAAGAAAATGCCGTTTTTACGGATGATGGGAAAACGGCGGCATCCTAAAAGACACATCATTCAACGTAGAAAAAATTGACGCATCTTTCTATGTCACGTTCATGATGCCGCCAATTTCCCATTAAATAGAAAATCTTAAAAAACCGTTTTTAGTACGCCAGATTCCTATGTTCCGGCCATTTTCAAGTTTTGAAATGTATTAGAGAAATGATCTCCATCCCAAATTAGGTATTGTCACCAACTTTCAGCAAGTTTGGTCTAGTAACTTTCGAGATAGGTTTTCGATGTCGGCAACTTTAACGGCCCTTTAAACCCCAAAAATCAACTTTTTAAACTTTCAAAACTATATGGCCCCACTAATTCGATCATGCTCTATCCCATGGCGTCAAAAAAACAGGCTCGAAAAAAACTGTGCCAAGCCTATTTCGGTCCTGCCGCAAACGGCCTTTTAAATGCGGTACGGACAAGTTCGTACTGATCGATTAAACTTGCCGTATCTGCCGAATGTCCCATATAAAAATTTTGGAATTACTTTAAATTAATTGAATTAATAAATAATAATTAGTAAATAATAGAATTAATTTTTTTGAAACCTTTTTTTAAATCCCAAAATTCCTGGATTTGAATTATGCCAATTAGCATAAATATTCTGTTTATTCAAATAGTGACGGTTTAAAAATGGTTAAAATAACGGTAAGACTCTACTTTACCCCCCCAGACGCCCCTTTTCTCTGCGCCCTCTCCCCCAGGCCTACTATCTCTTCGCCTGCGCCCTCTCCCCCAGGCCTACTATCTCGCCTGGGGGGGTAAAGTAGAGTTTAGCCAAAATAACTACTCTTAATAATACTACAACACGTGCAAAAATTGCCGTACCGCTCGCTGTTGGCGCTGAAGAGGGCGCATTCGGGCGACGGGTCGGCCCACAGAATATTCTCCAGAAGGCCCTCGTCGGCTGGCTCGTACTGCGGTCTGAAAAATATGAGAAAAACAGATTCAGTTTAACAATTAAATAGGATTACTTCGGACTTTTGAAAAAATGTTTCCTTTAAATTGCGAAAGCCGCGATTTTGTAGCTCGTTATTGGGTTTTCAATATCCTCTTCGATTTGTATTTTTATTTTTTTTGCTAATCCATAAATCCTACTTTTTGATGCTGCGAAAATCGTCGATCGATTTGAGCGACGGGGCCAGGCCGCCGTGAACGCACAGCACTTGCGAGTTGATCGTCGCCGCCACCTAATAAACAAGCACTACAATTGTTAAGAATAGCATCATCAGAAAATTTTTATTACCTGTTTTTCATAAAACACATGATTTTTCAACCTGCTTACCGGCAAGTGGGCAAAGACCTCGCAGAAACGCCTGTAGACAACGTCCCATTTGCGCGCGTGGTGGTAGCGCATCCGGATTTCGCCCAGGAATCCGTAGGTTCTGCAAAAAATAAGATTTTTAGTAGAATTAAGCTACAAGAAAACTGGGTCATCCAGTTCTCACTGTGAAAACATGTTTCAACGCAGGGAAATTCTGTGAAAATTCTACCAGTCTCAATTTAACGATCTTCCTGCAGTTGCGATTAATATTTTATAAAAATCTTACTAATTGCGTTTGGGCTTGATTTTTTCTTGTGATCAGATTTTTCCCTTATGCAAAATCCAGAAATGAATTGAAAAATACAAAAAAAATCACGATTTTTCCGAGCAAAATTTCCTGTTTATGAGTTTTTTAATGGTTTTATCACTTTAAATATACTTGTTTGGCTAAAAAACACTATTAAAACACTTAATACTACGTTATTAAGTATTTCGGTAGTTATACGGAAAAACTTGGCTTAATGCCAAACAAAAAATGTGTTTCATCCATGTCAAAGCTAAAGACTATGAAAAAATGTGTTAAAAGGTACTTGTTCACGGAGGGGATCTCGTGGTTGCCGCGCAGCAGGTAGACATTCTCCGGGTACTCCACACGACACGCCAGCAACAGCATTACCGTCTGAAACATGGGGCAGTGTTACCGTATCCCTCCGCATTGCTACAGTACCTCCAGAGAATGCGTGCCCCGATCCACATAATCGCCGAGGAACAGGTAGCGCTGGTTGAAGGGCAGCCCGTTTTTCTGAAAAAAAAAGAAGGTAAGACTCTACTTTACCCCCCCCCCCCCAGACGCCCCTTTTCTCTGCGCCCTCTCCCCCAGGCCTACTATCTCTTCGCCTGCGCCCTCACTCCCAGGCCTACTATCTCGCCTGGGGGGGTAAAGTAGAGTTTAGCCAAAAAGAATGTTCCAGGTGATTTGTACTACGATTATTTTTAATTTTTGCTAATTTTATTCAGAATCACTATATGTTCAACGTCAGGTTAGACAAATTGTTCAAAAAAGTTTGAAAATATCGGGACATCCCAAATGGAAAAATCGTCACACGCCAGGGTTTGTCGAGGTCTAGCCGGCGAGAGGGAAATGAGATTTTATTCTAGCGCATCCTATCGCCTTTAGATAAAGATTTGGTAAGACTCCAGATAACCCCCAGCCGGCAACCAACTTTTGTATCTCGGCGCCCTGTTCATCTACAGGTGTGTAAAGTATACCAAAATGTTCGTCTTGCTGTGGCGAGTATTTTGGTATACTTTACACACCTGTAGATGAACAGGGAGCCGAGATACGGTAGATGGGGGTCGGCTGGGGGGGTTATCTGGAGTTTAGCCAAAGATTTGATAAAAAAAAGATGTTTCACAAAATTTGAGTACCGGGCAACCATGAAATTTCTTAATGTATAGCTTTGTTGAATTGTCTGTTATAATTTGCCTGCTACTTTTAACGGAGTAGTACATTCTGCTACTTTTTTTTCCTTCAACCTACTACCTTTGCATCCCTTTAACTAAGCCACCTGAAAAATCTGGAGGAGATCCTGGTATTGACCGTGCAGATCCCCGCACACCACCAATGGGGACGACAACTCGAGGAGGCTCGGCTGCTGCGACAGCGATTTCTGCACAAGATATATGTTTCAAGAATTTTTAGAAAATCGGCGCTGTGCCGTTCTTTTAATGGTACGGGAAAATTCGGAAATATGTGGTTTGATCGATGTAGAAAATGAATGGGTGTGTTTCACAAGTTCGGTACTGGACTTTTTAGTAGGTGGAAAACTAATTTTTGTTTTTTTTTTGCCTGCTACTCGTCAATAATAAATAGTCTATTTTCTTACTGTTTTTTTTCTGGCTTTTGAGTGCTAGAAAGTTAAAAAGTATTTTAAAAATTTTTTTCAATTCGAAAACTTAGACCTGGTTTGGTCATTTTTCATGCATTCTTTTACCAAGAAGCTAAACATTTTCGGGAATTTTTGTGTTTTGATGGGTTTGCTGCTATCTAAAATGCCATAAAAATGCTTTATTTTTGGTATAGGGCGGTCAGGAATTACTGGTAAAAAAATTGGTTCTCCCCTCGCTAACCATCCTGAACCTCGAAGTTTTATGGAAAAAAGAAGTTTCCATTTTCCGTAGAAGTTGATCATTGTAGAGAGCGTTGGTATAGGCAGAATTCGGCTCACTACCACACCTCGGCAAGGTCGAGGAGCTGGAGGATGACGTCCGGGCGGTAGTCCCATTCGAGGGGCCCGCGCTCAAAGTGCTCGCGAATCAGCCCGCGCACGTCCAGGCCCTAAATATGGAGAGAAAATTAGTGTTTCAATTTTTTTCGGTTTAACTAAAAAATACAAAGTTGATTTTAGGTTTAGATCGAATTAATGATCAATTAATAGTAAAAGTAAGTCAAGGGTTGTTAAAAAATCAGGTTTCAATTTTGAATGTACCACATGACCATATGCTACTGATTCACTACCATAAAATTAAATAATTAATGATCGAAGAAAATTAGCATACCACGTACTCGCGCGGCATCGTAGGTTTGTTGTGTGATCTGTCGAGTGTGCAAACAACAACATGTTTGGAATTTTTACAGGCAACGAAGAAATATTTATGCGAAATTCAAAATGGTATTTATTCTAATGTAATTAAATTACATGCGATTTTTAATCCTCTCGATCGCTTCTCTCTTCATTGTGAGGCACAATCTCCAGATTCAGCGTTCCCAGGTTGAACACCTAAAAATTTTATTATTTTTATTGTTGTGAATGCTTTTAAATTTATTTATCGATTTTGAAATAGCTTTAAATGTGCCTTTTTCAAAACTAGCGCTTGGCCAAAACCCCCAAATTCCCGAGCCGCATTTTTTAAGTGTTTTATCTCAATTTTTTTAAAAATAGAAACTGGGGTAGGCTAGCAGTGATCATTTGGGCAAGAAAATTCGTCAAACCTAAAGAAATTCAGATTTCCGACAAGAATTGAATTATCACATTTTTGCGTGTTTTGTCATGAAGTGAAACATATTTTTCTGGTTCGTCTAGCGCAACAAGTAATTTATCCACCGCACCGATTCCAAATTTAAAAGGCCGTCCGCGGCTCACCCGGCCTGTCCCCAATATGGCTTGGTACAGTTTTTTTCGACCCTGTTTTTTTGACGTCATCTGAAAGAGCATAGTCGAATTAGTAAAGCGGCACTATTTTGAGATTTTTAAAAGTTTATTTTCCTAGTTAAATTTGGCGCTAAAGTGGCAAACCTCAAAAAATTATCTCGAAAACTACCGGGCCGAATGGTCTAAAATTTTGTGACTAGGCCTCATTTGGGATGGGGATCATTTTTCTAATACATTGCAAAACACGAAAATGGTCGGAACATATGCAGAATGCGTACCAAAAACAGTTTTTTGCAGTTTTCGACTTGATGGGTGTTCGGCCGCATCATGAGACTAGCATAGAAAGATGCGCCATTCTTTTCTGCATCGATTGATGTATCTTTTATCAGGCGGCCAGACACCCATTTGCTGGAATATTCCATTTAGTACGCTCAAAACGCACCAAAAATGTACCCGAAAAATGCATAACAAAAAGTTTTCGAATTTTGAGGCATGGAAACACATCTATAAGACGAGCTGAAGCTATTGCAAAAAGAGCAAAAAAGAAATAACATTTTTAAAAGGGGTCTGAAATCCGGCAGGAATCGAACCCGGGTCGTGTGCCTGGGAGCCCTGTGGCGCAGTGAGTAGAGCGGCGGCGTGCAAATCCGGAGCTGGCGCCAGTTCAATCCCAGACCCCTCCAAAAAGCTGAACTTCGTTTTGCTCTTTTTTGCAATAGCTTCAGCTCGTCTTATAGATGTGTTTTCATGCCTCAAAATTCGAAAACTTTTTGTTACTGCATTTTCGGGTACATTTTGGTGCGTTTTGAGCGTACTAAATGGAATATTCCAGCAAATGGGTGTCTGGCCGCCTGATAAAAGATACAGCAATCGATGCAGAAAAGAATGGCGCATCTTTCTATGCTAGTCTCATGATGCGGCCGAACACCCATCAAGTCGAAAACTGCAAAAAACTGTTTTTGGTACGCATTCTGCATATGTTCCGACCATTTTCGTGTTTTGCAATGTATTAGAAAAATGATCCCCATCCCAAATGAGGCCTAGTCACAAAATTTTAGACCATTCGGCCCGGTAGTTTTCGAGATAATTTTTTGAGGTTTGCCACTTTAGCGCCAAATTTAACTAGGAAAATAAACTTTTAAAAATCTCAAAATAGTGCCGCTTTACTAATTCGACTATGCTCTTTCAGATGACGTCAAAAAACAGGGTCGAAAAAAACTGTACCAAGCCTTGTTCGGGTGACCCACGGACGGTCTTTTAAGCGTTAATTTTATTTACTCTAGGCAATCGGTTCACTTTTTGAAAAGTAATCATTTGATTTGGTAATTCGCCAAAGTTAAAATAACAGCGTTAGCTTACGAAGGAATGTAAAGCTTATATTTTCTCCAATTTTAACATTTGCTGAAACATATTTTTTTCCTCCCTCTAGACTGATTAATGGTAAGGATCGCGCAAAAAGAAATTTCTTAAATTCAACGAAAATATCAACATGAGAATTGAATGTGAGACGTTGATTTTAGCCGCATTCCGTATTAACCGATTCGCTTATTCCAGTTTTTAGCACGAAGGAACATCTTTTTTTTTTACCAAGCCAGTGCTAACAAAGAATTTCACTAATTATAAAGGTCCAAAATGGATTAACTAAAAAATATATCTATTGAATTGGCTCGTTCTTAATAAGTACCATCTTAAAAGTACATTTAAATTTGGTGTATAAATCTTTCTAGCGTATTATATTATTGAATGTCATTAAATTTTAATTATCAAGTATGTTTTCCCGATACGCGCAGTCGAGTTGAACGCACATATTTTTTTTGAGTACGAAGTGAAACATATCTCTCCGCATTCAACTTTTATATTGGTACGGTTCTATTCCTCCGTCTGATTTATATTCTTTGCATAGCATTCCCACAGGGATTCCCTTTGTAGCCAGCCAGCCTTTACAGCCATACGGTACCTCACAGCTAGCCAGCTAGGCGTGTGAAGGAGAGTTGAGGATGACCCTGACCCCCTGGTGACGACACCATTATGGCCCTTTCCTAATCCAAATACCAAGTCCCTTCTCCCAGAAACGCCACGGTGTCACTTAGAATGCACTATAGCACTTAATTTAAATAATTTCTGATTTAACGGCGAATTTTATCGTCAGTTTCTGCATTTCGGGAGCTGGCTTTTGGCGCTTACTGGCTTAAAAATAAATGTTTCATTTCATCGGCTTTTTGCCTTGATTTTGATCACTCTAATACTCGAGAAGTTGCGAATGGTCCTTTGATTGGTTTCTATTCCTTTGACTTTGAGTTTGATGTAATGCTTTAAATTAATAATTTTATTGTAATCTTTTTATTATAGATCTTATTCCCATCTTTATCAAGATTACAATATTTTTAGAGTCAACCTCTCAACTTGGATGGTTTCTCCAAAATGTGGCGTCTACGCAAAAATGACGCGAAATGGTTTTGCTGGAACCGAAAAAGTTATTTCTTTGGCTTTATCGGGGGAGGGGCCAACATTTTTCAAATATAAGTAGTGTAGTTGTTTCTAAACAATTTTTTCTTGTTTCTAAGCGTCAAGACTTTCAAATCACTATGCAAAAATAAAGCATGTCGGTTTTTCGACCAAAAATGATCGCTTTTGACCAAAATGTCGACTTTTTAAGAAGTTCTTAGGTGTTTTTCTAGTTGGACATAGTTATATTTTCCCACCAACACGATGAAAACATTTCCTATTAAGTTACTAGACATTTCTAGCCATATACAAAATCCCCCAGCCGATAATGCGAAAGCACCCTAAAGTTTAATTTATTGATTTAAGGTATCCTCAGCGGCGCATCAAAATATGCGACTTACTGTTCTATTACATGGACATTGGACACTAATGGGTCGTAAGAATACATCCTGAACCGCGAAATATCGTCCCGACGGACAAGAAAACGATCAAGCTCAGAAAATTTTTATGAAGGTAGGCCTTGATTAATAATTCTACTTAATACACTAAATTAAAGAGTTATTCAAGGCAATTAAAAAATAATGTTACGTGAAATAGGCGTGTACAGGGTGTCCCAATAAAAACACCCCCCTTTAACTCGATGCAGAAGTAACGGATCGGAATGATAGTTACACCATTCGAAAGCTCTTGAAACGGCAAGTTTGCAACAATCTTCATAACCGTGTTTTTATTTAAACCCGCCTGTTTACAAGCCATTTTGTCAAATTTTGCGCTTTTTTGCGCACGGGTTGCATAGGAGCTAATTTACCGCGATTTCTCCAAGCAAAATGTCTGGAAATACCCGTTAATTAGATTTAGAGGTTTTTCCTTAATGTTTCTGAACCCGTTGTAAAATAGCGGTCTTAAATCAACACACGGTTTTGAAGATTGTTGCAAACTCGCCGTTTTAAGGGCTTTCGAATTTCGTTCCGATCCGGAACCTGCGTCGAGTTAGAGGGGGGTGTATTTTATTGGGATAGCCTGTATACTTCATACTTGTTTAAGGTAATGAATGGAATCATATTACATTCAATAAGTATGTAATATAATACTGGGTTACATATATATATTTAAGATTCGACCCGGCTCCCAGACCTGCTCTTTGAAATCTATCGCCACTTGATATTATCTATCCCTCCCTTGCGTATCTCGCAATGATCTACAGTACGACTTCTATCTGAAGATGGTCTACAACATATATTTTTATGTAAGGTATCCGGTATCTGTTTAAAATGTAATTTAATGTAGCATTGGCCACAATGGCATTGGCATTGGCTACTCGAAAGACACTTATTCTGGGCTAAAACCAACAACAAGAATTCTGTAACGCAGAATCGTAGATTCTAGTTTATATATTAATAGATGTAGATTTATTGGATTATAAATATTGCTTAATATTATTTACCTAATTATTTAATATTAGTTTTAATAGCGTAAAATTTAGCTCGAAAGACTGGGAGGAGTCCGTAGGACCTTGAACCGATTGCATTATGATTTCATATACTTTACTTCTATATGGATTACCTTATCATATATATTATGAATAAATAATATTAAATAACTAACAATTATTGCGGTTTAACTAATTAAAGTTTTTGATTTGTTTGCTCTATATAAATTGAAACATCGTAGCGTAGTTTTATCTTCGTAAACAACATAAAAGGGAATATAATTGTAGTCTTATTTTATAGTTCAGAAATATTCCTTAAAAGTTGGTTGTGATTTTACAATGCATTATAATTTATATATTGTATCAGCCCCTATGCAATAGTCCGGATAAAAATCTTATGTTACATGAAAATACACAGTTAACCGAAAGAAATACTGAATATTGTACACACCGTGGCGACGGAAAATATTGCTTCTCGAATTTGGATTAAAAAAATTGTGTGGGTTCCTAAAGGATCTCTGCTAGTTTGCCAAAAAAGCCGCCAAGAACCAAATGTTAAAATTTTCAGGCTTTTAGATTATTTCTCACTTTCCGAGTTTCTACTTTATAATCTTTTATTATTTCTATTAATCTACTTTACAATTAATCTACTTTTTCTACTCAGTTTACTACTTCGTGTTTCGATTTTAATTTGAACTAATTTTCCAGTCGTTAATTTAATTAATGCATAACTACCCGGTGTAAAATTTAGGTGCAAATTTAAGCCAAACCCAAATACAAAATCGGGCTCTTTCGCGTTATCGGGGGGAACAGCTTTTTCTAAGGATTCAATTTTTCCAATATTTATAGAGGATTCTTTTTAAACGGTTTTTGACTACTCCTAGACGTAAAAACTTTAAAAATCTGCATTTAAAATTCGGAAAATATCAAATTTCGACTAAATTTTCACCTAAAAATATTTTCGAACTTTTTTTAATGTTTTTCCAGTTAAAATAGACTTACGTTTCACTAAAAACATTGCTAAAGCCCCCCCGATAATGCAATAAAAAGAAAAACCCAATAAAAAGCCTACCTTTTCCACATCCTTGCCCGGGTTTATATATTTTTCAGGGATTCGAAGCTGGAAGACACGCTGACCGACCTCGAATTAGATGTTAGAAGTGTTTTAAATTGTAGCTTCAAATTCAAATTAATATGTTTTATGAAAATTGCCCGTAATTATGATTTAAAAATTACAAGTTGTAGATGCGATGAGACCTCGTGTATAGGTCCGGTACAATTTGGTTCCGTACTAATACAAATGACACCAAATAATGTGCGTAAGGTACAATTCGGCCCAAAAGCCAAAAGCCAAAAGAGCCGGTTCTCAGGGCCTCATGCAGCAATTTCTTTCATTAAACCACTCAAATTGTTGGAAATAGTCGAAATACGAACAATATTCCATCAAAATTGCAAAAATACCATTCGTGAGCGGCGTTATTTGCAAGAAACCGAAAAAACGAAACACACCTAATGACGGTCATACGGAATTACCGACGCTCCGTACACATGAAAATTTTCACCCGGAACTATACACGGGGAGGACCTATACACGAGGTTTTAGGGTACCTTTTCCCCGTCCCCGCAGTCGTGGTAGATTTTAAATATTCCGGGAACATCGGAGCCTGTAGAACCTTCTAAACATCTTTTTCAAATCAAAATTTTTATTTTTTAAATATTGTTATATTAAAATTATTTTTAATATTTTTATTTCTCAAATTTTATCAATTTTAGCAATTGCTTTATTTAAGCAGTGGTTAAAATCACTAACCCAAAGTAGGGCCAGAAATTCGGAACATCCCCTCAGCGTCGCTCCAAGCTTGATCCAGGGTTTTATCGACGAGGGTACCTTAAAAATATATAAAATTTTAAAATATTGAATTAATATTGGCAATAAGATTAAATTTACAAGTAAAATTTATTGTAAGATTTGCAGTAGTCCTTATTTGTAAAAAATAAAAATATAGGAGTTTTACTTCTTGGCGGCGTTCTATCGCTAATTTTGATGAAGCGACGAACGAACGATGTGCCACTGAAAAAACATAAACTCATCTGTTTGCTTCATGAGACGAAACATGTTATTCCTGGGTTAGAACTTTTCGTGCTACTCGTCCCTTGCCTGTAATAATTTGTTTCCCATAAGTCCAGAAACACTTAGTGACGCAATAACAACGTATTAATAATGTTCTTAGAAAAATCCAACGAAATTTTGGGTTAAAAAAATAATTACAAAAAACCTAGAGCAAGTTTTTAGTTGACGTTTGGTCGAAAATCGGCCAGTTATGGTGGAAAATCTATATTTTCTGTAATTTGTAATCAACATTTGCAAGCCCTTAGGCTTTGCAATAGTTAAAACGTTTTATAATCAATTAATCTATTTCTGTTGCTAAATGTTAAATTTATTTTTCTTAAATTCAGTAATCTCGCCCTCCGTAAAACCCACCCATCTCATCGGGCCACAGCTTGACGCGGACGCCACGGGCGGGCGCCTCTCCGCAGCGGAGACGCCCCTCGACGGCGGCAGCCTGGAACCGCAACGCGACCGCCACGCCGTCGGGCGAATTGAATTTGAAACAAATTAATAGAAAAATGGGTAGTAAATAATTGAGCAACATTTTTTTTGTTGTTTTGAATTCGGGTGTCTGTTCAACCGGCCAAATATCGATTTTATCAGCTGGCCAGCCGACTCGGCGATCCGAAAAATTGATAAGCGGAAAAGAGGCAAATTATTAAATTGAAGGCTAATTCTGATTTTTCACAGGGTTTTAAGAGATTTATAATTTGCGTTAAAATATGAAGTTTCAGAAATCCTTAAAAACCGAAACGTACCGATTCTTTTAATAAAAGCATAATGTTGTAAAAAATTGTAATTTTGCTGTCCTTTAAATTACCGCGAGGCGATTCCGGGGATAATTTCTCGTTAAAAGCGACTAAAAACCGAATTGTTAGAATTGATTTAGGGATACGCTGTTTTAGATATCATGTTTCATCGCAGCAGGTATACCCCGACAATTTTTTTGGAATCAGTGGAAGCACGCTCCGAAGTTCAATTAAAAAAATGTAGGAATGTACTAGATATAAAAATGGGAAAATATAAATTAGCGTACCTCCGCTGACAATTCAGTTCATGTGTTTCATCAAAACATAATTACCGCGAGGCGATTCCGGGGATAATTTCTCGTTAAAAGCGACTAAAAACCGAATTGTTAGAATTGATTTAGGGATACGCTGTTTTAGATATCATGTTTCATCGCAGCAGGTATACCCCGACAATTTTTTTGGAATCAGTGGAAGCACGCTCCGAAGTTCAATTAAAAAAATGTAGGAATGTACTAGATATAAAAATGGGAAAATATAAATTAGCGTACCTCCGCTGACAATTCAGTTCATGTGTTTCATCAAAACATAATATGTAAATATACAGTAAAAAGATAATGGGATGATTTCCCTCGGCTGCGAAGAAAAAAAATGGGGTTTGAGAAATATCGAAAACGTGCCATTTTATGCCAAAAATGAATAACTAACGAATCGATTATTTAGTATCTAGGTTCTTTGGCATTTTCAGGGGTAAGAGTTCGGTTTACCCCTTCCCCCCCCACCCCGCCCCTAGCCGGGACCAGCTTTTGTATCTCGGCTCCCAGTTCATCTACAGGTGTGTAAAGTATACCAAAATGTTCGTCTTGCTTTCGCGAGTATTTTAGTATACTTTACACAACTGTAGCTGAACAGGGAGCTGAGATACGGTAGGTGGGTGCCGGCTGGGGGAGAGGGGGCAAACTGACCACAGCCTTTTCAGGATCCAAGTTTTCAAATATAAATACAGGAAGTGTTTCTAAACGGTTTTTTACTATTCCAAAACGTGAAAACCTTTTAAAAAAACAAGGACCATGAGGAAAACACCGCTATTAAGTTACTAGCAATTTCTAGAATTTTACAAACTGCTCCCCCCGGATAATGGAAAAGAATCCAAATTTAATGTACACGATATCGTAATAAAATCTATAAAATAACCATTTATTCTTTCCTTTAAAAAGACACAGCAAAATCACAGGTTCGATTGAATTGGCTTAGCAACGAAGGGAAAATAGAGAAATTAAATAGGGACCATTAAATGACATAATTTAGGCATTTAAATGCAAATTGTCGATCGATGCTCAGCAGTCGCTCTCGGCCAGGTGGTTCTCATCAACTTGCTGGCCATCGTTGTAACCGCTGCCCTGATCATCTACACCGTCATCACCGTCATGGTCAGCCGGGACGCCGTCACCGTCAGGGGCCTGAAAAAGAGATTTGCTGCAATCTAGGGGCTTTGGCATTATCGGGGACGGAAATTTTTTGAATGAGTTCAGAAATGCCTAGTAACGAAATGTTAAGTCTTTTAACGGCATTTTTAGTAAAAGTTAGCTATATTCCCACTAGAAAATATCTTTAAAAAATATAACATTATTTAAAATTCGAAAACTGGCTCGAAAATCGGGCAATTTTGGCCGAAAAATTTTATTTAGGAGCCGAAACCCGATTTTTATTTAGGATTAGTTTCATTTAATAGACATTTTTCCCCTGAATAAAATTTGCTCGGATTAATTTAATTAAAGTAACTGTGGTTGAGATTAAAGTTGAAACATTAAATGGAAAAATAGAAAAATAATGGATCCACTGAAAAAAATGTAATTTCTGTTTTTTTTTCTTCATCCCTAAAACGTACCCCTTCCTCGGCAGCTACCTGCTCGAGCTCGGCGGCCATGGTGTTCTGCACCTTCTCCAGGTAGCGAACAAGCCGCTTGAACGACGGGCGCTCGCACCAGATCTCCTCCCAGCACTTCTCCAACACCTTCCGGATGAAATTTGGGAACTAAATGGAGAGCTTACGAAAAAGTTTTAATTTGAGCATCTACCTCGTCGGGGATGACCATCCGGCGGCCGGTGCCCTCGAGCAGCATGAGCCGGACCTCCTGGTTGGTCATGCCAGGGTACGGGTCAGCGCCGCCATCCGCATACACCTCCCAGCACAACACCCCGAACGCCCAAACGTCGCTCTTCGTCGAGAAGGCGAACTGCTTGAGGATCTGCAAATCTCATCTCTCTCGCTCTCTCTGTCTGTCGCTCACATTCTTTCTATCTCTCTCGCATTCTCACACTTTCTCCCTTCCTCTCTAGCTCTCTGTGTCTTTCCCTCTATCTCTCTCTCTTTCCCTCTCTCTCCTTTCTCTATGTCTCTGTCCTTCTCTCTCTCTCTCTCTCTCTCTCTCTCTCTCTCTCTCGTCTCTCTCTCTCTATCACCTCCGGAGCGAGCCACTTGGTGGGCAGCGGGACGGCATCAAGCTTCTCCTGCTCCCTCTGCAACGCTTTCTTCTCCAGGGCCAGGTCGAAGTCGGTGATCTTCACTGTACCGTCGGCCCCGATAACGCAGCTACTAGCCATCAGTTGACGATGAATCTGCGGGGGTGAAGTTGAAGGCGCTCAAAAAACGTGTCGTTATCTCGCGAATTTTGTCGTTGTATCTATTTTAAAAAAATTAGAAAAGTCCGCCCCCCCCGTTAATGTCAAAGAACCAAATATCCTTACAATGCCGCATTCCTCCAGGTGGGCAGCGCCTGCGGCCACATCGAGTATGATGGCCAGCTTCCGCTCCCTGTTGATGTCGGCCGTCTTCCTCAGGTACTGTAATTAATAGAGTTTAATCGATTACGAGGGCTAAATTTACGGATTTCAACGTTCCTTTGGGAATGAATTCGAACACGGCGTAGATCGGGTCGACCACAGTGGAAATCCCGTAGAGCTTGCAGATGTTTTTGTGAGGGCTGAAAAAACGAGATTTTAGGGAGCGAGAGAGAGAGAGAGGGAGAGAGAAAGAGAGATAGAGTTAGAGAGAGAGCGCGAGAGAGTGATAGCGAGAGAGTGGTCGAGAGAACGAGAGAGAGAGAGCGAGAGAGAGAGCGTCAGAGAGAGAGAGAGAGAGAGAGAGAGAGAGAGAGAGAGAGAGAGAGAGAGAGAGAGAGAGAGAGAAGGAACGAGGTAAAGAGATAAACGAATAGATAATAGCCCTACCGAATCTTGAGCAAGCTGTAGGCTTCGGTGAGGAATTTCGCCTTCTTCTTGGGATCGCCCACAAAGTCCGCTTTCAGCTTCTTCACGGCCACCGCCACCGCGTCGTTTCCCTGAAAAAAAAATTGAGGTCCACAAAGCCTGGGACGAACTGTCACTCTCCCTTTAAAACCGACCATCCTGAATGTGCCCCTGTAGACGGTGTAGAGATCGAGGTCGCCGACCGCCTCGTGCTGCTCCACTCGGCCGTGCTCGAGCAGTTCGGGCTGGAAATGGGTTCTGGTGTGTTTGCGGGGGGATTTCAGGACTATACCCGCTCTGGAAAATGCCTACTTTTCGTTCAAAGTCGATATATTTTCTAAAATATTCATAAAGTGAGCATGCTAAAAATAGAAAAAAAACGGTTTAGAAATCGACGGAGATTGGCCCCGCCCCCCCCCCGATAACGCAAAAGCACCGGGATTAATGCCGAGCCGCTTGTACCTGTCGCAGCTTGGCCTTTCGCAAGGTGAACAGCTCGTTCGAGCCGTTCGGCAACGACTTGCCGGTGGTGCGGAAATGGGTGACGAGCTCGTCTAGGCGCAGAAGGTTCTCTAAGATGAATGAGAGCCTACTCATGTTGTTGAATCCCTGTGTGCTCAAGAAGTACTGTCGATTCGGGCCAATGAGGATGGTGAAGTAGCCGATTTCGTTAGGCCCATGCACGGCAAGACATAGCAACTAAACTCTCTCTCTCTCTCCCTCTCTCTCTCGCACTCTCCCTCACTCGCTTACGCTATCTCTCTGACTCTCTCTTTCTTTCTCTCTCCTCTCTCTTTCTTTCTCTCCTCGCTCTCCCCCTCTCTCCCTCTTTCACTCTCTCGCTCGCACTCTGCCTCTCTCTCTCGCTCTCTCTCACTCTCCCTCGCTTTCTCTCTCCTCTCTCCCACTCGCTGTCTCTCTCTCAACCTGATGAAAAAGCCAGATGAAGCGAGGAACTTCGAATAGCTACAGGGAAATCCCCCTGTGATTCGGCCAGCGCATTCAAATTTTCGGATTCTTGTAATCCGCTCGTGGACTGATTTTTAATTTATACCGGGTGTCCCAATTAAAAAACCCCGCTCTAACTCGACGCAGAAGTATTAGCTTGAGTTGCTATCATTTTCAATTCTTTTTACAGTTATTTTAGAGGAAGTTTCTACCATTTTAATCTTTTTAAAGGTTCAGCTTTTTAAAGGTTTAAAGGGTCGTCCGTTTTAAGGGATTTTGGCGGAAATTCCACGATTTTAATCCGTTTTAACGTTAACTTAGTGATAGTTTCTGCAATTCTAATTTCTTTTAAAGGCATTTTAGAGGTGATTTCAATCATTTTAATCGATTTCAGGGGTTTTAGTTGTAGTTTCTCCCATTTTTCATGCGTTTTAAGTGTATTCAGTGGACTTCAGTATCTTTTGAACCCGATTTTCTTGCCACGAATTCTCGGCCGTGCCCAAAGGGGATTAGGGGGAAGGAGGGATGGAGGCAGCCAGTTGCTCTGTCTCTGTCTGTCTGTGTCTCTCCCTCATCTCTCTCTCTCCGTCTTCCCCATCTGTCTATAGCCGCCCGGCGTAGTCTTTTCCTATGGCCGTCAGCCGTTTTGCCATCCTCCGTTTCTCAAAACATTTTTGCCGGCTTTCGCTCCACTTTCTTGAGAAAACATTTCTTTAGCTTTTAGCGATTTTTGAAACATACCTCGCGTTACGAAGTTAAGAAATTTCTATTTAAAACTGTTGTATAGGATAGAGAGATAGACAGAGAGAGAGAGAGAGAGAGAGAGAGAGAGAGAGAGTGAGTGATACTCGACTTGCGGCAGAAATAGAATGTTCAATGTACCGTTGATTGCAATTTTTCCTGCGATCTTGACTATGCCGAAGCCTAGAACACTTTATTTCTAGCATCGAAACTAGCGATTCGGGATTAGATTTAATTCCCATCTGCTCAATAGTCCAAAAATTTCGAGGCTTTTTGCTATGTTTCGGTGTTTTTTTAAAAGCAATTCCATAGATTTTTTTGGAATTTTTTTTGCATTCACGTACCAATCAAAAAAAGAATATTATTTTTCAGGCGCGCCCGTTCCCCCGCGGGGCTTGGCCCTTTCGCGGCACGTCGTCATCGTCATGTTTTCGGAGATAGACGAGCTGGTGGCAATCATTGTGATTGTGGTATTGTGCTGTCTATTATTCTTTGCATGGCTTCTATCGATGGCTACATGTCCGGATACCATGGTGGCACTCATCTCGGGAACCAAGTAAGTAGGGAGTGGCTGGCTGGTTCTTTTGCATTATCGGGGGGGGGGGCTTTTTATAAGTCTCTAACTGTCTATTAACTTCATAGAAGCGGTTAATAGTAATTTAGTGAACTAAAACTATGTTTCAACTATAAGACCTATCCAAAAAGTTTTTCAGGATTGTGATTTTACGAAATTGCGGCAACAACCGTCCATTTTTTGTTCGAAAAATCGATTTTTTACATTTTTATTAAAATTGTATACGGTTTATTTCGTTTGGGATCCGTCAGTAATTCACCAAATCAAACAGTAATTTAAATGCTAAAAAATAACTATAACTCAATCAGAAAAACGATTCCCAGTCACCTGATCGAAAAATCGCCTGATCGAAAATCGCCTGATCGAAAATCGCCTGATCGAAAAGTCGCCTGATCGAAAATCGCCTGATCGAAAATCGCCTGATCGAAAAGTCGCCTGATCGAAAAGTCGCCTGATCGAAAATCGCCTGATCGAAAATCGCCTGATCGAAAAATCGCCTGATCGAAAATCGCCTGATCGAAAAGTCGCCTGATCGAAAAATCGCCTGATCGAAAATCACCTGATGGAAAAGAACCCCAGCGAATTGCTTCTGATCGAAATTATCTGATTTACAGCACGAAATAACCCTAATCATTTATTGACATAATATGAGTCAGCACGGCATGATTTAAGGGGATATCACAGTAAGCACGACTTTCTTGCAGCACGCAACATTTCTTTGCGATGGCAGTCATGAAATCCCGGATGTAATCCTTATCGAAGTTGTAGCATATTTTTTGCTGCTCGTCGAGGGTCGAACGCCGGTTCGAAAACTGCCTGATCGAAAGGCAAAAATAATTTTATCTGACCTTGCTTCGTCCTTCAGCCCCGATAATTTTCGATCAGGAGTTTTTTCGATCAGGCGACTTTTCGATCAGGCGATTTTTCGATCAGGCGATTTTCGATCAGGCGATTTTCGATCAGGCGACTTTTCGATCAGGCGACTTTTCGATCAGACGATTTTCGATCAGGCGATTTTCGATCAGGCGATTTTTCGATCAGACGATTTTCGATCAGGCGATTTTCGATCAGGTGTTTTTCGATCAGACGACTGCCAACCCAGAAAAACTATCGCAAGCTGTTAAAAAGTCAACATTTTGGTAAAAAATTGGCCATTTTCGGTGACAAATCGATTTTTTTGAAGTTTTTAATGTTTTGTAGTTTTTTAGTTTAGGCATAGTAAAAAAGACTTGCCCCTTTAAAAATAATAAATAACGCTTTCAATTCGATGTTCCAGCAATGATTCGACCTACTCGTCGAACCACGAGTCGAAGGAGTTGATCGGCCGTGAGTACGAGGAGGAGAAGGAAATGGTTAAAAGTGGGTTTTGGCTAAAAAGCTCTATTCGATCGTTTTCCCTACAAAGAAAACCTACCATGCAGTTTCTTGCTGAATTAGATGTTTCAAAAAAATTATCAGTTTTCGGTGACTAGAATACGCATAATTCCATTGCGCCTTTAATTTCCATTATAAAACTAAGCGTTTAAATCTCCGGGTTTACAAAGTTTACGGTATTTTATGTTTTACGGTAGCTCATATTTTTGCAATTTCATATTTTTGCGCGATTTTCGATATACAATTCCAACCGTTTAAAACGGTAGGTTATTCCGAAATCTGGCAAAATTCGTTTCGATTATTTTGCTCCACTTAAAAAATTCTTGTTGCGAAAAAGGGTTTCAAAAAAGTTTTAATTTCCGAGAACTCCACGCGACTTAATCGAATCATCAAATTTATCAAATTATCAAATTTATCGAAAGGACATGTTTCAACTCATAATCTTAAACCTATCACCCGTTTAAACTTAATACTATGTTGCATTACCCCAAAAACATAAATTAAATATCATAATTAATTTGATAATTTAATTTTCAGGCGTTTCATCAGTGTATCTGCAGCTGAACTCGTCCCGTCGTGCCTCAGACAAAAAGCTGTCCGTGGTGCCGGAAGCCGACGAGCAGGTCGGCACTGACTTGTCAATTAAAAACTATTCAAAAACACTTGTAACGTTTAGAAAAAATTTTATGCGCTAGTTTTATCAAGGCCATTCGGGAAACCTTGCCGGAAATTCGGGAAAAAATTTTATAAAAAAATTGCAACATTCAATTATTACTTAAAAGGGCACGTGCAGGGACGTTTGTGGGCAAGGAAGCAAACATTTTTGCCGCGGCCGGGGTCGAACCCGGGTCCCCCGTTCGGGAGGCGCGGCCGCATACCAGTCAGCCACAGGTGCAAACTGGCGAGGGGTCGAGGGGCGCCCCACCCCGGAAAGGAAGGGAACTGCCTCTCACGGCACGGGCAGGCTGCGCGCGCGGTCCCTACGTCGATAGGGTGTGAACGTTGGGACGGGTATACGCCTCCTCCCTGAACGTGCGCTTTAACAGGTTTCGGATTTTTCTTTTATTACTAAATCTAATTATATTGCACTACTTTCAACCGAAGTCAAAATTCTCAAACGTTGATTTTACGCTCTACCGAATGGAATTTTCGAAAAAATTTAAAAAGGTGGAAAATGTCCAAAACTAGCTCACGACACCCGATTTCAAGGTTTTTTCTATGCAGTATAATATTTGAGTGATTGCTAAAGTTCGTAAACTATTTTAAAAAAGTCCCGTTTCATAAAATCGTAGACAGTTTGCTCCGCATACGTTTTATCTCGAATTTTTTTGTCGCATCTGAAACAATGGTACGCTCGGAGGCAAATGAAAAACATAGTAGTTGAACGTAAAAAGAGTTAGGTCACCCAAAAAATCGAAACATAAGATTTTATGCCATGATTCCCGTATTTCAAAAATAGAGTGGAATAGGCCTGGGAAGTCCGGAAATGCCTAGTAACGTAATAGTCATTATCGTTCATAACGAAATTCAGCGATTTAACTATAAATTTGCTTAATCTTTTCTTTTAAGCTTAATTTAACGATATAAGCGAAAAACTATAAATTTGGAAAATCGGTCGAAAATCGGTCAAAACCTGGACTTTAAAAAAATGTTTTGATATTAAATTCAAATTGGCATTTTTAGAAATGGTTACATTTTGGGTTTTGGGTTTAAGAACAGTAACAAAAGTTCAGAAACGCTTCCTTATTTTTTAAATCATAAAAGTTGATGTTTAAAGAAAAAGGGTACTCCGTACAATACGAAATATTTAAATATTTCAATCTTGAAATATTTTGTAACGCTCAATTTTTAGTCGACCGTCCAGTCGCGTGCCCCGGAAATGCGGCCGTCGATTTTGCAGCGCAACGCGGCCGCCGCGGTGGCCGCAGAGAGGACTATCGCGGAAATTGCGTAAAACATGTTTCATCTTTTTCCCATTTCGTCAAAAAATTGTTACTGCAATCACAATGGGAAAATTTTTTTATTTGATTTTTTCTTACAAAATTTTTTTCTTAAATGTTGCCACATTTAGCCACCTGAACTTCAAAATAGTACAAAAGCCCTTAACTAAGAAAGATCAAAATATTCAGCCAGTGCCTCCCCAATACCGTAATATCAGCAATTAATGTGTGTGAATTTGTAGTTTCTAATTTGTGGTTTAATGCATGTTTTTTATAGCAATTTTGAATGTGCCATCATCGCGTGAATAAACGGGTAATTTAAAACCTTAAATTAGCATCAGGTTTTAATAAAAAATACAGCGAAATTTCAACGGCGTTGTTGATATTTTGAACCTGAAAATTAACAAGAAATATTATACAGGGTGGCCAGAAAAAAAAGTGCCTGGTTTGCACTGAAATATCTCGCTGGGGGAAACGAATTGAACCATCGTTACCTTGTCAGAATGCTTAAATAGGCTGGGTATGAAGAAATAACACAAGCTGTTTTTTATGATTTTTTGACGACCCCCTACTCGTTAAGAATTTTTGAACATTTTTGAAAAAATAGAAAACTTTGAAGCGATAAAGTATCCAACTTTTGAAGAGTTATAGTAAAGTGTAGGGTATCAAAATGAAGCTCTCGGAATGCGCTATCAAACCAGTGGTAAAGAATATTGATCCGTTTAACTAGCCGTCAATAGGAGCGTTCGGAAAATCGGGACTTTTCCAGAAGGGGCGATTCCCAGTTGACCACAAAAAGCCCATTGTTGCCATAAGGTTTTGTACTTGTTACATGTAATCCTGGTTGCCAAAGATAACCATGTTATAATTTTAACTATAGGAGCGTTGAAATTACAAATTGCGCCGACTTGGCGAAATGCCAAAAATTTTTTTGATCGGAATTTTGACAATCTTGATGCACAAAGTTAGCAGGTATCTATTTATTCCTAACTGCAAAATATCAGCAAGATCGGATGGTAAAGAAATTTTATCTCGAATTATTCCTTCAAAAAGTGCCGACTTTCCGAAACCTCCTATTGACGGCTAGTTAAACCGATCGATAATTTTTATCACTGCTTTGATAGCGCATTCCAAGAGCTTCATTTTGATACCCTACATGTCCCCCTAACTCATTAAAAGTTCCATGATTTTCCTCTTCAAAGTTTTCTATTTTTTCAAAAATGTTCAAAAATTCTTAACGAGTAGGGGGTCGTCAAAAATCATAAAAAACAACTTGTGTTTATTCTTCATACCCAGCATATTTAAGCATTCTGACAAGGTAACGATGGTTCAATTCGTTTCCCCCAGCGAGATATTTCAGTGCAAACCAGGCACTTTTTTTTCTGGCCACCCTGTAGAGAAACCCAGTCTATACTAAAAATTACGATTACAGCGTTCAAAAGAATAGACTATTTAAAAAATACCCAATAGAGGATATAAATAAATAGACACGCAAAGAAGTACAAATGGAAAAATCAACATCAACAGCAAATAAAAATAATAAAAATCGATTCTATGGTGGGCCTGAAAGGGGCCTGGAAGTCAAAATTTAGCGTAGCAGAATTTCGATAAATATTTGCAAAGATATGTTTTATAGTTCTTTCATATTTTCAGGTGGTCAGAACCATTTAATTTAGCAGAACCTTATTAAGGATCTAAATTTGGCCGAGGAATAGAAAAATGTTTAATCGAACTTCCCTATTCCGATTTTTTTTGCGAATTCACAATTCTCGGTGCACCGGTCAGCCGGGTTCAAAATCCGCTATGCAAAGCCATCGAGGGCACCGACAATTTCCGCTTTGTGAGTCCGAAAAATGCTGCGAGCGTCCGTTTTCCCGGCGGGTGCATGCGCATGATTTGCATAATAGCTTATCGGTGTCGATTGAACGCTCTTATTTAAAAAAACGGTGGCTAAAGTCTAGTTGACCTTGGAGAATGGCGCAAAATTAGATTTGAAGTGTTAATTTGAGACTATTTTCTATAAACTTTGAGCTATTTTCTCGTGAACAAGTGCATTAACGGGGGACTAGACATATTGATAAAAATTTTATAGTGTTCCAAGTAGTTTTTCATAGCTACAAATTTTTAAATGTATTTCAAAAAAACTTTTCAAAGTTCCGCAGTTTTGACCTTATTGATCATTTTTCATAAATTTTTCGAAAAAGTATGACAGGATTTTTTTATTTTTTTTATATTACGAGGATTATCTCTAAAAATTTTATAAAATGCTAGAAAAATTGCATGTATTTTTTACTGGGCCGTACGGGACTACTGGAAAAAATTTGCCCCCCCCCCTCCCCCCCGCTAGCTGCGCAGTATTCTGTCAATTGATGTTGCGATTTTTAATTCATAGAATAAAGGCGCAGGAAAAAACAGATGCTATATATTGGGTTGGAACGTAAGTCTCTGCGTATTTTCAAGCTCAATTTTCGCGCCGAAATCCAAACTTTTATGTTGAGTCCTATATATCATTCGAAAGAGCATTTTTTTGCTCTACAAGGCTGCTATAATCGCTTATTTTATAACCGTGAACTTCGCATGTGTTTCGGGAACGAAGTGTCGACGAAAATGACCCTCGAAGGCCAGACGACCGCACCATGCAAAATTTTTCTTTACCATAATTACCAAATTCAATTTAATTCATTATGCACTCGCCCAAGCGGAATACAGGTTGATGCCAAAGATTAACAAGTTTATGGATTCCCTTCCGCTAAACCCGGGCTCAAATTATCGCACAAAGCAGTAGTTCTTCTTAGTTTATGCCTCTCCATGAAAATTTCGAGATAGCTCTGTTTCATTTTGAACGATGTAGATCCTTCTAAATAGGCAGAAAAGTCGAGCATGACACTTGGGATGTTTAAATCCCTGTTTTTCACGCAGAAATTAGCAAGTGGAGGCAGAGCGCATTTCGGTCAATTTTCCGATCTGCTAAAAATTACTGAAAAGCTACTTCAAAGATAAACCAAATACATGAAAAAGAAGAAGAATAAAAGCTCTTTCGAAGTGCAATAAGTAGCCTGTACAATTACTTCGCTATCGAGCTCAAAATCGAGCTCAAAGGAAAGCGGCGATTTTCATTCTAACCAATTAATTCGGAGCAATTTAAATGTAGAAAAATAAACTAATGTCTGTGCCTGATAGAGAAATGAAAGCTCTTTCGAATGATATATAACACTTGCTCCAAAATGCTCTGGGAAGAGAAGCAGCGAGCTTTGAAAAAAGCGCAGAGACTTACGTTCCAACCCAATATTTGTGGCAGATTCACGCCAATGTTGAGCTTCTAATTGCGAACCTTCAAGTACGTGGTCAAGTATGCAGCGCCAAAGTTTCAAATCCACGAAAAATCTTATGTTTCAAACTTGTCGAAGGTCGTTGCAATTTCTGAAATTTTAGTAACAAATAGGCTCTTTTGTCGATTGATCTTCTGATTCGGGTAATAAAGCTCGAGTTTGCTGTATCTCGAAAACTACTGTAGCTGGTGGGGTATAACCCAGAAATTGGGAATTTTGGGACCGATCGGATGTAATACGGCGAAATGCCGGAGGGTGCTTTTTTCGGACACCCCCTGTATGTTGCCGCAAGTTTGTCGTCTGTCGAAAAATGTATGATTCAAACCTTCGTAAGGTCTTTGAACTTTCTGCGATCTTATTCAATGCGTTTTCCTTCTTTTCGATTGATCTTCTGATGCAGTTGCCATTTTGCACGTCTCTATTGCTGATATATTGCGTTATTAGTAGTTTTTCATTGCTATAAAATTGCAAATGTGTTTCAAAAAAGTATGGAAAGCTCCACAGTTTTGACCTTTTGGATCATTTTTTATAAATTTTTCGAAAAAGTTTCAGAGATTTTTATGATTTTTTATATTACGAGGGTTATATCTTAAAATTTTATAAAATGTTAAAAAATGGCATGTATTGCTATGGGGCCGTACGGGACTACTGGGAACACTTTTGTCCCCCCGCTAACAGTTCAGTATTCTGTCAATTATTGTTTCGATTTTGATTATACAAAATAACAGCTCTACGCCAATTTTTAGCTTCCATTTGTGCAATACGAACTTTGAAGTAGATGATCAAGTATGCTGCACCAGTTCCGCAACTTATCGAAAAACCGTATGTTTCAAACTTTTGTAAGGTCTTTGAAATTTTTGCGATCTTATTGAAAACGATTCCTTCTTTTCGATTGTCCCACCTTATATAATTTTGGAGTGTATCTCTGTGTGTGTGTGTGTGTGTGTGTGTGTGTGTGGATGTCAGTTTCGAGGCCCGATTTGAGGGCCTTCCCGTGTTCAAAATGCCCTAATTCTCCGTCACCCTGGGGAATCGACCCTCCTCTTTCTGATGGCGCTTTCAGAATCCCGATAAAATACAAGTTTACAAAGTTAAAGCCGGTTTTATTGATTTTTGGGGGTCCGGGAGGGCTAATTTGCATAATGTGAAAAAATACAAATTTCCTCATTCTTGCCAGTTGCACTCGCGAGTTTGGTCGTCTCTTTGGATCTGCCTCTCGATGCCTTTCCTTCCCCTACCCCGGGCAGCCCCCTTGAGACATAAAAGGGGTGTTTGGCGCGTGATACCAAGCACTGCATGGTGTAGTGGTTAGCGCTTCGCCGTGCTAATCTAACGATCGGAGGTTCGATCCTCGGCTATCTTAGTTGTTTTGCTTTTTGCTCGGAAAGTGCGTTTCGGAGTAGATTTCCGTGTAGGGACGCTATTATGAAGTTAGTCACTCAAACCGCAGCCTATAGAATGAAGCCACCCTCTCAAGCATGTGCCTCAGACCAAGGAATCAAGCTACCTGCTCAAGCTAGCGCCGCAGAGTTTGGAACGACGCTAGCCGCTGAAACTAGCGCCGCAGACTAAAGGTTTGGGCCGGCCCCTGAAACTAGCGCCGTAGGCTTCGGAAGGAAGTTAGCCGGGCAAGCTAGCGCCACGGCCCCAAGGTCAGAGCTAGCTCTCCAAAATTGCGCCGT